TCAAGCAGCAAACTTAAGTTTTAGCTCGAATGTTTCTATAGATCCGGTACTATTATACGGACTTGCTGTTGAGTTCTCTCGCGGAAGTAAAGGAGGCATTCTTTAATTAGAGAGGCAACTTAAGAAGATATATAAAAGAGTTAAGCAGTTCCCCTACTGCATCCCAGGTGATATGCTTTGGGAGTTGCTACAGAAGCACAGTAAGGAAACACGGCTCAACCAGGCGCACAATCAATTTCTTAAAGACACTGAGGAAGTAAAGCCACTTTGATCAAACTAAATTATCCACTCAGCCAGCGAAGCCAGCGATGTCAAATACAGCCTTTACATTTCAAAAGTCCTGTGCGTTATGTCCCACAATAATAATAATGAAAGAAAGACCTTTTCAGTGCATATTAATTAATTTTAGCCTAATTTAACAGCGGAGAAGTTTGCCATTCTGTTTTCGTCAGTTCAAATTAAAATAAGGGAAAATGAACCAAAGTGTATTAAAACTGTTGTTATAAATACTGCTATGCTACAGAATGTACGAATATAACGATCAAAATAGGAAGTTCAGAGATTAATAAAGAATTTCTTAATTATATGGGGATAAGGGGCTCTTTTTACACAAATGGAATAATTTTATGCCAGTTCAAGAGATATTTTACAAGAAATCAGCTACATTCAATAAATCTATTTCTTCAAAAATGCCATCTGATGGCTTGCATCTTTCCCTAGGAGCAAACTTTAAAAAATTCAAAATTTTGAGAATTTACATTATCTTAATACTTTCAGAATTCCCAGAATTTTAAAATTTTTAAAAATGTCAAATATCGGGCAAATTCCGAAAACCTAAATTTTGAAAACCTGTGATGATAACTGTTAAAGCTACAAAATTTTTAAAATAAATGTGGTTTGCTTGAAAACCAAGGAGAGGTGGTTCCTCAAACGGCACTCAGTCCTCATTAGGTTTTTGAAGTAACGGATCATAATGGATCTAGGCGATTTATTTGACGTATCTTTCAAGCTGGCGAAAAATTATACGATTTAATAATAATGATATCTATTCAAAGTGTTCACAAAGAACATTCGGATAAATACGAGCGATCCCTTAGAGACGAATACAAGTACCTCGTGCATGGGCCACGTGACTATTCACAATCTATTAAATTTTTATACTTTACACAAACTAAAGATGTAATGATAACACATTCACTATGACAACATGGACGAATTTACATATTTTGGGTACATACTTTTGCAACATATACATTTTATTAACGTAAGTTGAAAGAAAGCACAATGAAATATCTCAATATTTAATTTGAAGAATAAGTGAATACCCTGAAATGGTAAAGGTAAATAGTACATTAATTTTTTGGCTCCAGAAATATAGGAAAAGCAGAGGAGGAGCAGATATTATCCATTTCTTTAACTCCTTTTTATACTTGTTAATGTATGTTTGTCTCTTTATTGCAGGTTGTAGAAGGCTATCAGATCTTGGACATAGTAAAGGTCCAACATCATAGCAGTGAGTTCTTTCCTGGTTAGGAAATTTCCAGTAAATTATATTCTGGTACTTTTACGATACTTGTATTCAACATAATTTAATTTTTTTATTTTTATGTTGATCTCTGGCCATTGAGTAAGAACCTAGACGTCAAATATCAAGTACATATTTGAGTTTCAGCAGACAAATTTTTGGTTACGTTAGGTAACTGGTCTATTGCGTATTGTTTTTGAAATTAGTCTGATTTCTATAGTATAGAGCATCAATGTAAGTTTTGTGCGCTGCTCCCCAAATTATGATACCATAATTTATATGACTTTCGGATAATGCATAATAAAGAATTTTCACTTGTTCTTCCGTCAAGAACTGCTTATAATTTTTGATTTTGTAAAGAAGAAATTTCAATTTCCAATGTATTGCGTATGTGTATCCCAACGGAGATGTGGGTCTATATAAACACCTAGATATTTTACAGTCTTTCCTTGGAATTGCTTCGTTATTATTTTCATTAATACAATTTAATCTTCAGTAGTCTGGCAAATATTTGATGTATGATGAAAGTGACATAAAGTATGTTTTACTATAATTTATTGTTAGAAGACGAGATTTAATTAATTTAATTTATCAAGTGCATTCTCACAAACTCTTTTCAGTTGACTGCACTGTAGAATAATAATGGCATCGTCGGCAAAACTCACAATTTTTCCAGCTGTTTCGATATCGTACAAATCATTAAAGTATATATTGAATAATAATGGTCCTAATACAGTGCATTGCCCTGAGGAACACCACAGGTTATTTTTTGAAAACTACAATAAGCTCCTTGTATACTGATGCATTGATACCTTTCTGTAGGTAACTGTTTAGCAGCTCGTGTGCTGTCCCTCTTATCCGGATGAGCCACATGGCATCAAGTAATTGATAATGATCAGCTGGGTCAAACGCCTTTTTTAAATCTAGAAATACAGTACTACCAATCCACTGACTTATTTCTGATGAGACTACTTTCATCGCATCTTGTGTTGACATATTCTCCCGAAATCAAAATTGCTGATTGGCTACTATGTTGTTTTTAATGAGAAATCTGTTGATCCTAATTTTAATTATTTTTTCTATAATTCTTTCTATGGAAGAAAGAAGAGATGCTAATTTGATGTGTTTGTTTCGTTTCCTGATTTATGAACTGGCGTAATGACGGATTGTTTTAACATGGTAGGAATGTTACACTAGATAAAATTCAATTTACTAGAAAATAAAATGATTCTGCTATATCCGAAGCGATCAGTTTTAGTGATCAGCTCGAATTTTGTCTATTCCAGGCGATTTATTATCTTTTAAAAATCATATTACTCAAACCAATTCATCTTCAAAAACGTCTTCCAGATAAATAGAATCAGAGATTTGTTTTTTAGGCAAGTCTGTAGTATTATTATTTGTGTAAGGAGATCTAATGACGGTATTAAATTAAGAAACTCTTTATAAATCATGACCCTTCCTGCCATATTAAAATTTGTAGGGGGGCCCAATCCAACTGTGGCGAATCTCAAATGGATGGTAATATTTAAAGTATGGATTATTATAAAAGAAACATAAACGCTTGCAGTGAATAATATGAAGTGTCACGTATTGACCAATGGCGCCCGCAGGAACTTTTCTCAGACAGACAGGATGGATAATCGGCAAGAGATAATGTTCCGTTAAGGTGTATCTACCCTGAAAACTTTTTGATGAGCGAGGGGTAGCACAGTTTTTCAGGGTTAGGATGAGGGGTGTACTGTGCATGCGAACGTTTTAGAAAATTAGAAAATAGGCTTAGGTGAATGTTTGGGAAGCATCCAGTGAATCTACTTGCCACTATTTTTTCCGACTTTTTTTGTTAAGTCATCCATTGCTGTAGACGATTTAGGTCTTTTGAAATTTTCAGCCTCTGAAGACAGTACCATGCTTGATAGTCAAAGTTGCCCCATAGAGGTCGTAAAATATTTTGATTTAATTTTAATTTCGCGAAGCTTCCTTCAGCTGTCGCAGTTGTAATCTGGAGGGTTGCATGCTACCTACTATCACCTAGCCATACAATCTTGTGTTTAGCGCTTGCGAATGTTTAATTTAGCGTACGGTCTAAAGACCTGTGTGAGATTGTGAAAATCACTTTACGCATTTTTTTATATGTGGGTCCCCATGTAAGCTGATGGCCCCGTATCATTGATACGGCTGATAAATCGATAACTACGTCACTGGCGTATTCCGCTGCCCGCTATGTGGCGCTGTGACGTCATACGTCGCGTTCAGGCGGAACGAAAGTATTCCGGCGGGACGCAGCTTTGTTAGTGCATAACTTTTGCTCTTAATGATAAACCAATAATTTTTTTTATTGACTACATTTCATCTGTATTTTGTTGGAATATGGCAACACCGCGGCAGTACCACGCTAACCAATCCAATCGAAATCGGTGCTAATAACGATACTCCGAATGCCCCGGAGCTGGACGGATTGTACTGTGTGATCAGTGTTCTTTCACGATCAAAACAAAATCTTAATAGCTATGAAAGCTGAACGTTTTCAGCTACTGTAGAGGTCGTGCGTGTATTTTAGGTACCATCTGACCCTCGGGTGGCCACGAAAACGTGGCACTCGGGTCGATCGCGTTTCCTCCAAAGGTCACTTGATTGCGAGGGGTGAACCGCTGAGGCATTACGGTGTACAAATTTTGGGAATTACTGGGCATTATATGAGAATTAGTTGGCATTAGTAGGCATTACTAGGAATTAGTGGGCATTACTAGGAATCCGTGGGCATTACGGGGCATTGACAAGGAATTAGTGGGCATTAATAGGAATTTTAGGAAATTAGTAGGCATTACTATGCTATTTTTAGCAATACCATATTGTGATGTGCCGCCACTGGCGCTCCCAGGGGGGGGGGTAAAGGGGGTAATTACCCCCCCAGACGACTCGAACAATCCTTGTATAGGTTGTATAAAGTAAACGTGTAAACGTCTTATAAAACAATCTGTAACTCTAAGAAAGGATAGCGGCAACACTGCAAACCCGCTTAGTGCGCATGCGACTAGCGAATACTCTCCCACCACTCTCCCACCAACAGAACAGCAACGGTGTGCGCTTCTTCCTGTTGGAGGATGTATTTTTTGTTGTTTTGTCTGACATTGTTATGCAGAAAAGTCTGAGAAAGATTATATTATTTTGCATTTTACTTTTAATATATGAAGATTGCTCGAGCTCGGTTCGTTTTATTTAACTTCAATTTCGTATGGTTTAAAATTTATAAAAAATTATGTATTTTCTACAGAAATTACTGTAACAAATTCATATGTTTGCATATTTCCATGCTTTTACTGTTAAATCATTATAACACTTCAGTACGCCACACTGAGAATTTACTTTCCATTTTACCCCCCCCCCCCCAGACTAAAATCCTGGGAGCGCCACTGTGTGCCGCTTAACAGCGGCAACAGTGCTGAATTGATCGCTTTCCGTAGCGCTGCTTCTCATGCAACAGGATTGCGTGAGCATTTTGAGGTTAGGTGTAAGAAAATACCGCATAACCGTCGTAAGCAAAGTGTGCAAAATCTGTGAAGTATTTTTTTACGAATTGCATTTGTTTTGTCAGTTAAAATCTCGGTTAAAATATTCTCTAAGCGCTCTGTATCAAGTTCAAGATAATTACTTATTGTGATCGAGGTAAGTGTATGTGTTACAGAAAATATTCGACTTCAGGCCATTCTAGTTTGACCTTGGACACACTAAAAGTGCTTATCATTGTTTTCCTAGGACATTCTAAAATTCCCTGATTAGTGTTCGGAAATATCCGGTTTAAATAATTGATTTACTGAAAATATTTGTATTCATAAGTTTCGATGGTCAGTAATAATTATATTGTTGTAGCTTTTCGTAACTGTTTTCGTTTACTTTCTTATATTTAAAATTCATTCTCCTTTTTTTTTAGTAGTTATTTTGAGTGGTACATTATCGTATTACCTGACGAGTTTGACATCACCTGTCAAGTTTAACATATTTTAAGTTATTTTGATAGCAGAGGTAATAAATTGTATCACAAAGTTTGTTTCCTAAATCCATAAAACTAAGAGAAAATTCCGATATGGAATAAACTTTTTGAGACTCACAGTATTGTAAATTTTTTTTTAGATGGAATCTCATATTGACCATCAAGATGGCGCTAGCGATGTTGACATTCATCTCAGAGATCATGAGGGTGATAACGAGGATAACAATTTTTTTAAAGAAGCTGAATCTACATTGAGCGTTAAAATACCACCAACTTTAAAAAATTTATTATCTGCCTGTGGATTTGAAAACGAATCAATATTTGCAACTATTAATGACGATAACATCGCTAATATTGAACAATTTGCTCAAAATGAGTTGCACCAAATTATTGGTAGAGAAGAATATCCAAAATTTTATGGTATTTATTGCAATAAACCGACGTTATTTAAAATACCCATAGGACATAAGAATATGATCACTTTGCTCAAAGATTTTTGCGTAAAAAGGCAAGCTGAAAAAAAGGCAGTTAAAAGAATGATGCGACAGCCAGAGCAAAATAAAACAAAACGCAAAAAATATCGTTATTCCCTAGGTGATTCCTCGAGTAATTCCTTCACATCAACGCAGGAAAACTTCCAAAAAAACGTGAGTGGAATACGTTCCTGTGAATCTGATGCTGGTTTCGAAGATCCAAACGAAAATCGAGGCGAAAATCTCTCCGAGGTGAGCTCCGAGGATACCTCCAAATATGGAACAGAAAATAAAATTTTAGAAACAATCCACCAGTGGGCAAAACGCAAGACGGATGAGGAACAGTGGAATCGATTAAAAAGTTTTCTTAGAAATATTTCGGTTCGGTTTATAGCAGATGGACAAAAATGTATTATTTCTTGCTTTTGCGGAGCTACGTACACTATTTCCAAATTCTTCAAAAGAAATTCTAAATGTGAACGATGGATTTATTCCAATTTTCAGACACACCTGTTAAAAAAGCATAAGCATATTGATGAATTTGCTAATTCCGAGGCTAATTCTGGGGCTAATTTCGAGGGTAATTGCAATAAAAAAAAACCTTACAAAAACCAACTTATTACCTCATTTATATTAAAAAAGCCAAACGTCAGTGTAATGCAAGACCTTAATCTTTCATCGAAACAAATACACTTAACAAATAATGGAAATAAGGATAGTGAAGAGGCTAGTACATCCCGTGATACATCCGCTAATACTTCCTTTGAGAATGTGTTTCATTCGGGGAATACAAAAATTAAGGTATTACAAGATATTAGTTTACCCTTGCAAATCCCCAAAGAAACGCCTTCAATTGCTATTGACAATATGTTACAAAATAATAATAATAATAAAGCTAATTCGTCCTTTGGCAATTTGCAGGAGAATTCAACGGAAAAATTTGAGGAAAACTCATATCAGTCGGTAAATACTTCTTTGATAAATACCAAAGTTAATACCTTGGAAAATATCGAGAATCGGATGATAACTGAGTTTCATGAAAAAGAATCAAATTCTTTATCTGATATTGGTTCTTTTTCTGATATCAACCTTTCTTCCGAGCCTTCAGTTTTGGTGATAATACCGACCAAATAGAACAAGAAATCGATGAAGGTTTCTTTTTACAAGATGGAACTGATGATTTAGAGATACATTCTATATCGGAAAACGAACCCGAAAGTCAAGCAGAAAGTAGCAATAGAATGGAAAAATTAGAACTCCGAGACTATTCAAGAAAAATCAAAAATGTAGATGAACATTCAAATTTTTTAAAATTAGAGCTGAATGAAAAAACAGTGGTAATAAAAAAATCGTCATATATTTGGTTGCTTGATGAAAATGAAGGAAAAATAAGCAATGATAGGTTGAAACGGTTTATTATCAATAATAAAACCAAGAATAAAACAAATACAAAAAAAGAAATCAAGAAAAAAAATCCAGGTACAGAAAAAGTTTACAGAAAGAAGAAAAGAGTAAGCGCCGAATCAGACTCTTCGTCTAATGGATCGTTTTCGGAAGTTACACTCCATGACAGTACATCAGATGATTCTGAAACGTTTTCAGACTTAGAGACTGAGTTAGAGACCAACCAGGAGCTGAGTGAGCAAGATCACGAAATTATTAATATAATAATAGATACTTATTACGCGGTATTTTACGATAGCAAGTATTATATTGGCCGAGTTATAGAGATAAATGATTCAGATGTAAAAATGAAGTTTCTTAAAAAGGAGCTAAACGTATTTTCTTGGCACAGAATAGAAGATATTGCATTTGTGGAAAAAGAGTTTATTTTTTACGGACCTATAAATCTCTCTGGCTCAGGACCCTTTCAATTAAAAACATATGATCTTTTAAATATAGAAAAGAAATACAAAGAATTTAAAAGTAAATAGATATCTTCACACTGCTTTTATAAAATATCTAAATTTGTCAAAATACGTTCATTTTCAATTTTTCATTATGTTAATGACATTTAAGTATACTATAATAATTCAGGACTTGTTCGTTGATTTTATTTATACATGTCTTATGCATAGATTATTATTATTTTTGTTTACATCTAAGAGATTCTTTGGGGACATTCGCTATTCTATTATTAGTTTAATGTATAATAAAATAAATGTAAGGACTCTTTGAGCAATTAGTGGAACGTAAACACTGGAATGTTAGCAAACATTTTAAAGGAAGAATATTACACTGACTGGCAAAAAATGTGGTATACGTCACCAGGGGTTATAATAAAAAAATAGTGTAAATGTGTTATATAATCTTATTTAATAAGTGTAAAATGTTCTTATTTTGTTTGATACCACTTATTTCTTTTGTAGGTGTAATAATTATTTAGTTATTATTAAGTACCTATACTTTGTTACTTTTTTTGAATCTTGAATTCAAGGATATGGAATTCCGCTGGAGTGTTTTAGTTATTGAATTCTGATCATTATAATAACATATTAGACATAATCATTTTTATTTTAAAATGTTTTGTAATCGTTTGCGTTCATAAAATATATATATATATATATACAGGGTGTCTCTAAAAGGTCTGTACAAAATGCTATCACAAATTCCTCGGGCCAAACTACAACGATCTAACGCAATTTACCTTAGACCAAAAGTTGATGGTTTGCGAGATACAGGGTATCAAAGTTTCAATTTCATTTTAGTTATTTTCAAATAATTTTTTTAATAATAGAAATATTTGCAACTAAATTTTCCTGCGGTATTTTATATGCTGGATATAAGTTTTGGATTTTTGTATAAGGCATTACATGGTATTATTAAGTAGGAATTACTGGGAATTTAAGGGCATTACTAGGAATTACAAGGCATTACTGGGTATTAGTGGGCATTAGAGGGCATTAGTAGGAATTAACACAGGAATTAGGGGCATTACGAAAAAAAATCGAGAGTAATGCCTAAATTGTGCATTGGTGTACACAATTTAGGTCTGCGGATTGCCCCTCGCTTGATTGTGGCTTGTAGAATCGATCATGTCAATGACTGAAGAGGTATGCGGGAGCGATTTCTAGTAACATAATTTGCATAGGCGCAAGATATTTTATTTCAAGGCACTGATAAGCCATCTGATCAACCATTCTATCATTTATGGGATAAAAGATTACATTACAAGTATGGGGTTAGCATGGAAGCAAACACGCCACTGCGACCCATGTGGAACTATTAATAGTATACAGGGTATTCCGAAAGTTGGAGTTTTAGGTGTATACTTCTCCTAAGAATAGGTAAATTTTCCTAGTAACACATGTACTAAAAAAACCAAGATATGTATGGGATGGGCTATTTGAAGCTACAACTTGAATCGGTTATAAACAACGAATTCGGACTGGGTAGAAGGAGCGAGCTTACGACTAGTTTGTAACCAGAATTAGGTAGTCAGTAGTAAGAATGCAAGCTCATGTTTCAAGTCGATCAGGCTTAAGCTGCCAGTTTGACATTTGTTGACATTTCACATTAATTTCGTACTTCTCTGCAAAGACATATAGTCAACGCCAAACAAAGTGGCGTGCACGTCATCAAGGTGGGTGTGTTGAAAAATTTACATTGTTGCCAAACTTTTTGTAAAATAATAAAATTTATTATTTACATATCTAGGTTTATAAGCAATATTAACCTCAAATGAGAACAAAAATAATAGTATAATAAAATTATAGATCTGTACTTGCATAATCATTAAGTATGACAATTATTGATCAGATGACACTATGAAACTACCATATTTAATTGATAGCTTAAAGGTACTGAATAAAAAACCAAATGGGGTCCTCCAAATTTTATGCATGGTATTTATTTTACAGAATTCATACAGAAAAATGCATTCTAAAATTAGGTAAGCTACTGGTGTAAGCTTTTTCTGTACAATACAGTTAGTCGGAGTTTCTTTCTTCAGCGCTGTCTGAATCTGAATCTTCATCACTCTCAAAGTTGATTATTAAAGGTTCGATGTCTGGTCGATCAAAAATTCGTTCTCTTTCATACCATTTAAAAATTTCTTGCTCAGTATGTCGAACACTATTTTTCCACATGTCTAGGGTAACCGTTTGTAGAGCCTCGTTCCACATATCCAAACAGTCTTTTTCACTGTTACCATCTCTACCAATATGTCTGTTATAGTAACCTTTTGCTATGCCCCAAATTAAGTCAATAGGGTTAAATATACAATGGTAAGGAGGCAGACGAAGAACTTTGTGCCCATGTTGTTCCGCCAATTCATCAATCACGTATATTTTAGGTGGTTTGTTTCTAAAAAAGCAGTTATTTTAAGAATAGGAATAAACAAAAGAAATATAAACTGTCGACCAAAATATATATAATTAAGAAGCATTATGTACCGAGCAACAATACTCAATAGCTCTGTTTTAAACATTGTGTTTAAAAATGGTATGTTTTGATTTGTCAACCAGTCTTGGATATTTTTTTTTGTCCATGCATTGTTGGGCACTTTGTTCAATATCATGCTGTGATAAGGGGCGTTATCCAGTATAATCATAGATGGACTCTCCAATTTTTCTAATAACTGATGTTGAAACCATTTCAAAAAATTGTCCTGGTTCATCTCTCCATGGTAATCGCTCAATTTTGTTTTCGAAGAAAGTATCGCTTCACTACCCTCAATAAACCCATTTTCATTTCCAGCATGTAATATAATGTATCTAAAATATATTAGTTTTAAATTTTATAGTGCAAATTGTGTAAAAGTACATACCTTTTACCATCTGTTTTAATAGCTTTCACGCTTTTTTGGTTTCCATTTTGCCAAGAGCGACCTATGGTCCCATTTTGAAATATCCAAGTTTCATCGAGGAAGACAAACTGGTATAAGGCCTCAACCTTGGCTTGATTGTATTGCCTTAGAAATTCCACCCTTTTCAAAGCTATACTTGGTAGTTCCATGAGCCCTCGTCGCGGATTGTCCTTAAGCCACTTAAATCCAAGATCTCTAAGCAACCGCCTTAAAGACGTGGCACTACCATCAAATAATGCCCTATCTCTTAATCGAGACCATAAAGTTTGTATCGTAACTTGTTCTTCTGAAACCATGTGTAATATGACATTATAATTTAGTTAACAAATTAATGCAAATTTCTGATAAGTTATTATAATAAGATCTTACTTTTGTGATACATATTATAGATCACTTCTCGAATGGCACTTGTATCCAATGTCGCTGTGTTGGTTACACGTTTAATATTACTCCGCTTTTTCTTGGGCGATTCTAAATTTGCATCACTTTTCACACCCTCGGAAATACGACTAACTGTCCTTAAACTAATTTTTAAAGCAGCAGCAACACGCTACAAAAAATGAAATAAAATTTCACTATTATTAATATACATTACATATAATTATTAGTAACCTACCTCTTGAACAGCATTTAAAGGCAACAAAGGCCCGTTGTTGTCCCTTTCTTGCTCAAAGTAGTGCATTAACGAGGCCACGAGCTCCTTACACCGACTATTTA